GTATGGAAGTTCCTCAAGAAGTTAAAAATAGAGCTACCCTACAACTCAGCAATTGCTCTATTAGGTATTTACCCCAAAGACACAAATGTAGTGATCTGAAGGGGCACCTGCACCCCAATGTTCATAGCAGCAATGTTCACACTAGCCAAACTGTGGAAAGAGCTGAGATGTCCATTGATAGCTGAATGGATAAAGAAGATGTGGTGTATATATATATACAATGGAATATTACTCAATTATCAGAAAGGTTGAATACTTACCACTTATATCAACGTGGATGGAACTGGAGGGTATTATGATGAGCGAAGTAACTCAATCAGAGAAAGGAAACTATCATAGGGTTTCCCTCATATGTGGAATATAAGAAACAGTGCAGAGGATCATAGGGGAAGGTAGGGAAAACTGAAAGGGAAGTCATCAGAGAGGGAGAAAAACCATGAGAGACTCTTAACTATAGGAAACAAACTGAGGGTTGCTGGAGGGGAGGTGGGTGGGGGGATGGGCTAATTGGGTGATGGGCATTAAGGAGGGCATGTGATGTAATGAGCATTGGGTGTTATATGCAGCTGATGAATTACTGAACTCTATATCTGAACTAATGATGTACTATAAGTTGACTAATTAAATTTAAATTAAAAATAAAGACAAAATGTATATAGAGTAATAAAGCAAATGTTACAAAAGATAAAAAAAGAACTAAAAAAAGAAAAAACAAAGCCCAAAGCTAGTAGAAAAAGGAAATAATAAAGGTTAGAACAGAAATAAATGAAGTAGAGGTTAAAAACCAACAAACAAAAAACCATAGAAATGATGAAATCAGGAGCTGCTTCTTTGAAAAGATAAACAAAACTGATAAACCTTTAGCCAGATTCATCAAGAAAAAAAAAAAAGAGGACTCAAATAAATAAAATCAGAAATGAAGGAGGAGAAATAACTGACTCTAGAGAAATACAAAGATTTATAAGAGATTATGAAAAAGTATATGTCAACAAATTGGACAACCTAGAAGAAATAGATAAATTCCTAGAAACATTTAACTTTCCAAAACTAAATCAGGAAGAAATAGAAAATCTGAATAAACTGATTACTAGTAATGAAACTAAATCAGTAAAAAAAAAAAAAAAAAAAACCTCCCCAAAAACAAATGTCCAGGACCATATGTCTTCACAGGTGAATTCTACCAAACATTTAAAGAAGAGTTAATGCCTATTCTCCTCAAACTATTTCAAAAAAATAGAAGAGGAAGGAAAACTTCCAGATTTATTAGAGAGAGAGAGAGAGAGACTGATACCAAAGCAGACAAAGATACTACAAAGAAAAGAGAGAGAGAGAGAGAGAGATCTGATGAACATAGATGTAAAAATTCTCAACAAGATAAGAGAGAGAGAGAGAGAGAAATACATTAAAAAAATCATTCACCAGAATCAAGTGGGAGAGAGAGAGAGAGAGAGAGAGTGGTTTAATATTCACAAATCAATCAGGATAATACAGAGAGAGAGAGAGAGAGAGAAAAAAATATATGATCATTCCAATAGATCCAGGAAGAGAGAGAGAGAGAGAGAGATATCTGTTCATAATAAAAATTCTCAACAAAGTTTATTAGAGAGAGAGAGAGAGAGACATAATAAAAGTCATATGAAAAACCCACAGGTACTCAAGAGAGAGAGAGAGAGAGAGAGAGCTTTTTCCCTAATATCAGGGACAGACAAGGATAGAGAGAGAGAGAGAGAGAATTCAACATAGTACTGGAGGTCCTAGCCATGGCAATCAGAGAGAGAGAGAGAGAGAGGTAATCATTGGTAAGAAGGAAGTAAAACTGTCACTCTTTGCAGATGGCAGGATACTATATACATAGAAAACCCTAGGGGCGCCTGGGTGGCTAGAGAGAGAGAGAGAGAGACTTCGGCTCAGGTCATGATCCCAGGGTCCTGGGATTGAGAGAGAGAGAGAGAGAGATGCTCAGCGGGGAGCCTGCTTCTTCCTCTCCCTCTGCAGAGAGAGAGAGAGAGAGATGCTCTCTCTCTGTCAAATAAATAAATAAATAAATAAAGAGAGAGAGAGAGAGAGAAAAAAAAGAAGAAAACCCTAAAGGCTCCACCAAAAAAAGAGAGAGAGAGAGAGAGAAACTCAGTAAAGCTGCAGGGTACAAAATTAATATATAAGAGAGAGAGAGAGAGAGATGCACTAATAATGAAAGGGAAGAAAGAGAAATTAAGAAAACCATCTCATTTACAGTTGCACCAAAAATAGTAAAATACTTCGGAATAAACTTAAGAGAGAGAGAGAGAGAGACTCTAAAAAACTATAAAACATCGATGAAAGAAATTTAAGAGAGAGAGAGAGAGAGACTCAGGGACTGGAAGAATTAATACTGTTAAAATGTCTAGAGAGAGAGAGAGAGAGACAGATTTGATGTAATCCCTATCAAAATACTAATAGCAAGAGAGAGAGAGAGAGAGAAATGATACTAAAATTTTCATGGAACCACAAAAAATTCAGAGAGAGAGAGAGAGAGATGAGAAGGAAGAACAAAGAGGTATCACAGTCTCAGATAGAGAGAGAGAGAGAGAGACTGTAGTAATCAAAACAGTATTGTCTGGCACAAAAATAGAGAGAGAGAGAGAGAGAACAGAATAAAGAGCCCTGAAGAAAACTTATATGGCTTAGAGAGAGAGAGAGAGAGAAACAAAGGAGGCAAGACTATACAGTGGGGAAAAGACAAGAGAGAGAGAGAGAGAGATTGGTAAAACTGGACAGTTACATGCAAAAGAGTAAAAAGAGAGAGAGAGAGAGAGACATACACAAAAATAAACTAAAAATGGATTAAAGACCTAGAGAGAGAGAGAGAGAGAATAAAAATCCTTGAGGAAAACATAGGCAGCACTTATCAGAGAGAGAGAGAGAGAGAATTTTATTAGATATGTCTTTTCAGGCAAGGGAAACAAAGAGAGAGAGAGAGAGAGAGGATTACACCAAAATAAAAACCTTTTGCACAGCAAAGAGAGAGAGAGAGAGAGAGAAAAGACAGCCTACTGAATGAATGGGAGAAGATATTTGAGAGAGAGAGAGAGAGAGAGGAGCTAATACCCAAAATATACAAAAAACTTCTACAAAGAGAGAGAGAGAGAGAGAAATAATTTAATTAAAAATGGACAGAGGACCTGAATAGAGAGAGAGAGAGAGAGAGACTGCATATGGCCAACATCTGCAGACACATGAAAAGATGCTCAACATCACTGATCATCAGGGAAATGCAAATCAAAACCATGATGCGGTATCTAAGAGAGAGAGAGAGAGAGAATGGCTAGAATCACGAAGACAAGAAATAACAAGTGTTAGAGAGAGAGAGAGAGAGAAGGAATTGTTCACTGTTGGTGGGAATGTAAATTGGTGAGAGAGAGAGAGAGAGAGATACGGAGCTTCCTCAAAAAATTAGAAGTAGAGATACTAGAGAGAGAGAGAGAGAGACTACTGGGTATTTAGCCAAAGAAAATGCAAAGAAAATAGAGAGAGAGAGAGAGAGATCTATGTTTATTGCATTATTTACAACTGCCAAGATACAGAGAGAGAGAGAGAGAGAACTGATGGATGAATGTGTAAAGAAGGTGTGGTATATAAGAGAGAGAGAGAGAGAGAAGCCATAAAGAGGAATGAAATCTTGCCATTTGCAACAAGAGAGAGAGAGAGAGAGAGTATTGTGCGAAGCGAAATAAGTCAGACAAAGACAAAAGAGAGAGAGAGAGAGAGATAAGTGGAATCTAAAAAACAAAACAGTGAAAAACCAGAGAGAGAGAGAGAGAGAGAAAACTAATAATTGCCAGAAAGCAGGTGGTGGGGGGATATGTAAAATGTGAAATAGGTTAAGAGGCTCAAATTTCTAGTTATAAAATAAATCAGAGAGAGAGAGAGAGAGAGAAGCATTGGGAATATAGTCGTTTGTGACAGATGGTGACTACACTATGGTGACCACTGAGAAATGTATGGAATTGTTGAATCACTATGTTGTACACCTGAAACTACTATAACTTGTATGTTAATTATACTTCAAATACATATATACATACATCCATGTCATCCAGCCTTAGCTTTTGAGGTAACTCTTATAAAACTGGAGCACGAAAAAAAATTCGAATTAAAATGTTATTAAGATTTACACACACATAAGATGTGAAAACCAGAAATACTGGCATGCATAAAATAGGTAAATATTGAAATAAAAGCTACTCAAATATTTTATATTTCTATTTTTTTAAAAAAAGACCACTAATGTAAATTCTCTCAAGGCAAAGAAGAACATAACAGTCCCTCTTAAATTTATAAATAACCTAAGTTTAGATTAGAATTTAGAGAGAGAGAGAGAGAGAAACTACTGATATTCAATGTACTTTCTATATGGCACTAAGAGAGAGAGAGAGAGAGACAAAAAAAAAAAAAAAAAGAAGAAAAAGCAAACTGCTAGAGAGAGAGAGAGAGAGAGAGTAAGAATACTTGAGTTCACTGTCACTGCTTTCAGAGAGAGAGAGAGAGAGAGAAGTTATGAAGCACTATGCCCGTGGATTTCCCTACAAGCTAGGAAAGAAAAGTCAGTTGTAACTCAAGGCCTAAAGTACCTGTCCAGCCGATTAAGAGAGAGAGAGAGAGAGAAAAAATTGAATGAGCCCAGGTCTTTAATCTGTCACAAAGAGAGAGAGAGAGAGAGATAAAACTGCAAATTTGGAGATGGACAAAATAAAATATAGAGAGAGAGAGAGAGAGATAGGTCTTCTGCGCCCTGACTAAAGCATGCTGAGGATTTTCTCAGCTGTTCTCAGCTCAGCAGGATAGAGACAGAAACCGCATAAAGCAAACAAGAGAGAGAGAGAGAGAGATGTCAGGAAGAATGCCGAGCAGCATTAGCTATTGCAGGAAAAGAAAAACAGAAAAGTCAGTCGTTCTCATTGGAAAGGAGACAGAAGTGGAACAGAGAGAGAGAGAGAGAGAGGCAAAGTTAGTGTACGTACACACACACTCCATGCCCAGAGAGAGAGAGAGAGAGATGCAGCCGTCACACTTCTGCCCTGTGGCTCCAGGTCGGCACGTGCAGAGCCCTGTGATGGGGTCACAGGGGACAGGCAGCGAGCCACGGGGGTCACACTTACATTCTTGGCAGGAACCTCCAGGGCTGCTGGGGCTGCCAGTATAGCCAAGAGAGAGAGAGAGAGAGAATAGTGAAAAAGCAGAAGAGATGAATAATAAGTCACGAGAGAGAGAGAGAGAGAGAGTGTTGTGCTGTGTTGGATGGAACAAAACTGATACCAAGAGAGAGAGAGAGAGAGACCAGTACACTTTTCCTGTAAAGAACCAGCCAGTACCTATTTTAGGCTTTTCCAGACCAAGATGCAGAATCAAAATCATTCAGTGAGAGAGAAAAGAGAGAGAGAGAGAGAGATTGGTTGATGGAACTCAAAACATCATCATCGTCATCATCATCAGCAAGTACAAATTATTTTGTAATAATAATCTATTAATGTAAAATCAATCTACTAATAAGAAGAAGGAAGTTCTTGTTAAGGTATCAAATTTACTTAACTAGGGCTCAAATAGTGCTTTCTATCATCACACTGATTGTAAACATTTGCCTGTAACAACCATTCAGAGAGAGAGAGAGAGAGAAGAATCAGGGAATGGGCCAAATTTTGTGGGCCAGTTTGCCCATCACTGCTCTAGATCATAAATATTGTTTTGAGGTCTTCTTTTTTAAAATTAAGAGAGAGAGAGAGAGAGAATTGACGCCTGGGCTTTCCTAGACTCATGCATTTTAAAGAGAGAGAGAGAGAGAGAATTCAAACCACTAAGTTTACTAATGAGCAAAAAGAAGAGAGAGAGAGAGAGAGAGACTACTACTTTCTATTTAATTTTACTGGTCTTTCTATCAGAGAGAGAGAGAGAGAGATTTTCCATTATATATCCAAGGAGGTGGGTTAATGTTAAGAGAGAGAGAGAGAGAGAATTAATTTGAGATATCAGAAAGAAAATCCAACTGGATGAACCCCAAGTGAAATCAATACATTGACTTCTACTCATTCACACATCCATTCACCTAGAGAGAGAGAGAGAGAGATTATGTTATTGGAAGTCTGGTAAAAACAAGATACTAGCAGGACCATATGCTCTGGGTTACCCAGGATGGTCCCAAATTACCTGTTGTCCTGGTAGAGAGAGAGAGAGAGAGACTATGTCTCCTTAGAGTATTGCAGTTTGGACAATAAAAGAGAGAGAGAGAGAGAGAACTATAATCAACACCCACAGCTTTTGTTCCAGAGACAAGAGAGAGAGAGAGAGAGAAGACAGTAGGAGGCTGAAGCTAAAAATTACAAACATTAGAGAGAGAGAGAGAGAGAATCTTTAGTGGCCTAGGATTGTGGAAATGTGCACAGCAGAGAGAGAGAGAGAGAGAATCTTGTGCTGGTTAGAAAAGGCAAAGCAAAAGAAAAAGAGAGAGAGAGAGAGAGAGGCTTTTATACATTTGTGGTTTTTTAATTATTTTATTAGAGAGAGAGAGAGAGAGATGCTCAATGAAAGTACTATTTAAATAAGTCCACTTAAAGAGAGAGAGAGAGAGAGAAGGTGAAAGAATTCTATTCTAAGCAGGTTGAGATTGAAGAGAGAGAGAGAGAGAGAATTACAAAAGTAACAAAGATAAAACATGGGGAGGGGTAGAGAGAGAGAGAGAGAGACTCAAAACATGTAAGCAATTTTAGACCTGAGCTGATGAGAGAGAGAGAGAGAGAGAGTGATTTAAATGATTTAAGAAGCTCTCAGAAGTGGAAAGAGAGAGAGAGAGAGAGAACAATAAAAATTTAACCAAGACCTTTGGTTTAATTTAGCTGAATAAAAGCAATTTTTCAGGGAAATATAACTAGATCATTTATATGTTAGAGAAGAGAGAGAGAGAGAGAGAACAACATTTGAGAACTGTGAAAACAATTCAAGACATTAGAGAGAGAGAGAGAGAGACCCTGTTCATCTATATGCTATATGATCTGTCAACTCCAGAGAGAGAGAGAGAGAGAGATATGAAAAAAATTTTTTTTCTATAATCACTTTGCCAGAGAGAGAGAGAGAGAGATTCAGTGCACCCTTCCAGTCTTTTCTATATACATGCTAGAGAGAGAGAGAGAGAGACCAATTTATAAATGTAGTATACTACCGAACATTTTTTTCATAAATTACTTCAGATAATACTGGTGTCCGGGGATGCTTTTAGTCATCATCCTAAGAGAGAGAGAGAGAGAGAGAAATGAATATTAGCCTAACCATGAATACCAAAGCACAGAGAGAGAGAGAGAGAGATATATATTCAAATGTTGTATATATCTCCAAAACAAATAGAGAGAGAGAGAGAGAGATGTATTGCTTTGAATTATTTAATTGCTATTAATTTCTAGAGAGAGAGAGAGAGAGAATGCACTGTTATATATATGCAAGTATTGGATATTCTGAGAGAGAGAGAGAGAGAGAGAATTATTTGGAAATATAATTTGCAAACTTGTAGAGACTTCATTGGAATTTATAAAATTTAATTATTTAGTTATCTACTTACTTCTCTTATTAAGAGAGAGAGAGAGAGAGATATCAAAAGAAGACTTTTAAATGGGTAATGATACAATAGAGAGAGAGAGAGAGAGATTTGCAAAGTGTGTGATAATTTGATATTCAAGTTTGAAGAGAGAGAGAGAGAGAGATAGAAGAACCCAGCAAAGGGGTGGGTAAAGCAGGGCAAGAGAGAGAGAGAGAGAGAGCAATGGTACGATTCCAGGTCTTAGCCCAATTCCATGAGAGAGAGAGAGAGAGAGATAAGCATAAGCATCTGGACTTCTGTACTCCCACAGTAGTCGTCATTGGCTATGGACCACTGGAGGAAGGTGGGGTAAATTCTCAGGCCTTCTTAGAGAGAGAGAGAGAGAGAAGGCTTCCACGTAGGCACTTAGGCAGGGCAACAGTTTAGAGAGAGAGAGAGAGAGAGACAATGTTAGTGTAAAGTAAGCAGAGCATTAGTTATAGAGAGAGAGAGAGAGAGAAAAAAAATGGGACCTAGCTAAATTGGTGGAGCTAGACTATATCCATGGATAAAAACTTTATATTGTTATCAATTAATGCTAAAATTATCATGTAGAGAGAGAGAGAGAGAGAACTTTAGAGATAATACCTAAAACACTAAAAATGGTTGAGAGAGAGAGAGAGAGAGAAGATACTGATATTATGGAAAATATGGATCCAGAAGATAGAGAGAGAGAGAGAGAGAAGTCTGAAGCTTTGTTTCTTAATTTACCATTTGTATTACAGTTAGTATTCAATTTAATAGCTACATAAATGCATTATCAGATTTTGTAAAAAAAGAGAGAGAGAGAGAGAGAAGAGGGTAGGTGGGTGGAGGGATGGGTTAAATAGGCGATGGGGATTAAGAGTGCACTTGTGGGGACGCCTGGGTGGCTCAGTCAAAGTGTCTGAGAGAGAGAGAGAGAGAGATCTGAGTCCCGGGATAGAGCCCCACATGGGGCTCCCCAGAGAGAGAGAGAGAGAGATCTCCCTCTCCCTTTGCCTCTCTCCTCACTCATGCTTAGAGAGAGAGAGAGAGAGACTCTCTCAAATAAATAAATAAAATCTTTTAAAAAAAAAGAGAGAGAGAGAGAGAGAGCACTGGGTGTTTATATGGAAGTGTTGAATCACTAAAAGAGAGAGAGAGAGAGAGATTACACTGTATGTTAACTGACTGGAATTTAAATGAAAAGAGAGAGAGAGAGAGAGAAAAATATGGAGGGAAGAAGCATTTAAATAATATTGTTTGCTTACTGGAAAGGAGAATCAAATTTATTATTTGTGTTGTTCTAATTAAGAATGCAGAGAGAGAGAGAGAGAGAAATTCTGTCTACATTTGGTGGCATAGTGCCATAATGCAGAGAGAGAGAGAGAGAGAACAGTTAGTGTTAGCCAATATTTTCCAGTGGATTAAGAGAGAGAGAGAGAGAGAGAAGCTTTTTATCATTTTTAACTATTGATAATATACAGAAGAGAGAGAGAGAGAGAGATAGATATATATGTGTACACTAAATATATAATATGTGCCACATATATAGATATGTGTACACTAAAACATAAATTAGGTCATTGTGAAATAATTTAGAGAGAGAGAGAGAGAGAAAATATAAGATGGAAATAACTGTCTTTTGAGAAAGTCAGAGAGAGAGAGAGAGAGAAATAGTGTGGAAGGCATACGAACTACTAGAAAAAATGAAAATAAATTATGAGAATAATGAATACGTGTCTATTGTGATCCTTTATTGTAGGATAGAGAGAGAGAGAGAGAGAATACCGTTCACAGTACTGGCCTTCATATCCCCGGGGGAGAGAGAGAGAGAGAGAGACTTCCAGGCCTTCCATGACGCAAGAAGGGCTAAAACTAGAGAGAGAGAGAGAGAGAAAAGATTGTAAAAAATCTTTTAACCTATTTATTTTATAGAGAGAGAGAGAGAGAGACATTATCCAGATGATCTGAACTTATTTTGGGGGTAATAGAGAGAGAGAGAGAGAGAATTATGAGTTTCTAGTTAAGGGTAGGGTGTCACAACAAAATACTACCAATAATAGTTGACAAATAAATATGGTCGGTTTTTAATGAATTTGCAAGAGAGAGAGAGAGAGAGACATTTTGAAATTTTAACAATTATATATAGACAACCATAGAGAGAGAGAGAGAGAGACAAGTGTCCTGTTTTTCATGAATTGAAAGAAAAATAGAGAGAGAGAGAGAGAGAGATTGTCTGATAGCAGAATAAGTATTACTGAATATTTTTAGAGAGAGAGAGAGAGAGAAAAGTTTATAATTTTTTTCCCAAAAACTCAGCCCGAAAGAGAGAGAGAGAGAGAGAACATTAAGTGTGAATAAATATTTCACTTAAAATAAGAAGAGAGAGAGAGAGAGAGATATGGATTTCAAACTAAATTTATTTTAAACACAAAGTAATGTGATTTAGTGTGAGGAAAGAAGGGAAAGCTCTCTACATGAAAATAAGATTTTAGAGAGAGAGAGAGAGAGATTCTATTAAGTAGGTCTTATATAACTTGCCCTGTTCTAGAGAGAGAGAGAGAGAGACACCACCAGTCAGGCTTTGCCACGATTTCTGATCATCAGAGAGAGAGAGAGAGAGACTTAACAACACTTGAAAACTAACCTGTACTAACATGTAGAGAGAGAGAGAGAGAGACTTCTTTCAAATGTAAGTAGAGGATTCCCACTAGATAAGAGAGAGAGAGAGAGAGAAAACTTGGAAGGAAAAAATATTATTTGTTGCAAAATGAGAGAGAGAGAGAGAGAGATTTTTGTTGTTGTTGTTGGTCTGCTAAAGAAGTTGATAGAGAGAGAGAGAGAGAGATGTATAGACCAGGGCTGCAACTCCTATCGGTCAGGTAAGAGAGAGAGAGAGAGAGAGTTGTCTTCTAGTGCATTGAATCAATAGTATATGAATAGAGAGAGAGAGAGAGAGATTGCGAAGTACGTGAACAAATTGATCTACTACTCACAAGAGAGAGAGAGAGAGAGATTATTTTTTGCCTTAGTAAAATAGATACACAAATACATAATTGACACATTCTGGCAAGCTTTTAGCTCTCTCAGTTAAAGCTTGAAGCTGAGTAGAGAGAGAGAGAGAGAGATAAGCTCACACACACACAAACATATATATCACATTTTAGAGAGAGAGAGAGAGAGACTACATATATATACACAAAATACAAGATATATATATACACACGCACTTGGAAACAAGTTTTTAGACATTTCAAGTGAAACTCTGGAGAGCCAAAGAGAGAGAGAGAGAGAGATTTACAGTAATATATCTGCCTCAATTACTATGCAAGAATGTTATAATTCTCCTTGAATAGTTTATAACTTTTTTGAATTATGATATTATGGTGAGAGAGAGAGAGAGAGAGAATCACATATGAGGACTTACGAAGGAGGGCAGAGGGATAGAGAGAGAGAGAGAGAGAGAGTTGATTCTTTCTGTTCACAACTCCCTCATCTACTCTCCATTCTCATATTATCTGCAGGGCCACTCAGAAATCCTTGTGCTTTTCTCTTGGAGAGAGAGAGAGAGAGAGACTTATATCTGCTAATTCCAAATTTGCCTCAAGAGAGTAGAGAGAGAGAGAGAGAGACTAGTCTGTGTTGTTCCTGTGAATACTACAGAGATGAAATGGCTTCCTGGATCCTACCCCCTTCTCCTTTTTACCCCAGTTCACTGGTTGTTCAGAGAGAGAGAGAGAGAGAAAATATATGTCATGTCCTTGACCTCTTCATGTGCCCTTCAGTTCAGTCTTCAGATTTCTCCTACCCTGTCCTGCACTCTCTCCCCTAAATGATAGAGAGAGAGAGAGAGAGATTTGCATCTACCCTACCAGATCTAAAACTGAGTTTCCCCCTCCAAAACAATCCCACTGATCTTTCTATAATTTTCCGCATCTCATCCATGGTCAGAGAGAGAGAGAGAGAGATCAGCCATAAGCCACAGAGTCAACTTTGTCTCCTTTCTCTCACATTCCACATACACTCTACCAGAAACTGCTGATCTTGTTGCCATGGCTAACATCATTGCATTTCCCTGTTCCAAGCCACCTCTTGCCATTGGAAGACTGTTAGCAGCAGAGAGAGAGAGAGAGAGACTGGAGCTTCCCTGAGTCATATCTTGGTCACGCTTCCCCTGACACCATTTGCTCTGCCCCAGTTGCCCTGGATCCATGCTGTCTGCCAAGCACAGAGAGAGAGAGAGAGAGATGTCCTTGCTTTTTCCTCTGGTAGACTACTCTTCCTCAGAGAGAGAGAGAGAGAGACCCCATTACTTCATTCGTCTCTGCACAAGCCTTTGTTTAGGGAGATCTTCATTGAGGACCCTGGCTAAAAGAGCACCCCAGCCCCTCTTAATTAGAGAGAGAGAGAGAGAGATCCCTGGTAGCACCTACACCGTCTGATATCACATTACAGAGAGAGAGAGAGAGAGATCAGCTTTATCAAAGTATAACTGGCAAATAAAATTGTAATATAATTAAACTATGTGTGGGATGATTTGATATACATATATGTACAAATTAATTAACACATCTATCACCCCCACATACCTACCTTTTTTTGTGGGGGGGGCGGTTTGAGAAGAGAGAGAGAGAGAGAGAAGCAAATTTCAATTATACAATAAAGTATTACCAACTAAGAGAGAGAGAGAGAGAGATAGATCCTTAGACCCCATTCATCTTATAACTGAAAATAGAGAGAGAGAGAGAGAGATCTCTCAATTTCCCCCCCTCCCCAACCCCTGACAACCACCATTCCACACTTGGTTTCTCTGAGTTTAATTTTTTTTAATTCCACATGTGAGTGAGAGAGAGAGAGAGAGAGATTTCTCTGTCTGACAAAGATGGCTGGTGTGTTTGGGAAGAGAGAGAGAGAGAGAGAGTGGCCTCATTGTAGAAGGGAGGAGAGGGCCTTGGTGAGAGAGAGAGAGAGAGAGACAGAGGGGAGAGGGTTTCTTCTACTCTGCTGAAAGATATCTGACCTTTCCTTGAGTAGGCGGTGGGTAACGCCTGAGCTACACTGTCATGATGAGAGAGAGAGAGAGAGAGATGTCTTGGTAGGAAATATTGAAAAAGTCATGCATGGAAGAGAGAGAGAGAGAGAGAGCCTTACTCCTTACTTTTCATTGGCTGCACAGATCGAAGAGAGAGAGAGAGAGAGACTCAGCCTCCTTCAACTGTATTTTATCCTTGTATTTCAGAGAGAGAGAGAGAGAGACTTCTTACCACACACAGGTCTTTGCTTTGTTAATTAATGTGCCAAGCTTTTGGTGGTGATAGGAGTGGGTCATGAAATCACTCTAGCAGGTTTGGACTTAAATTTCTTCTAATAATGCAGGAGAATAAAATTGAATAAAAGTCATAGGAAGAGAGAGAGAGAGAGAGAATGTATATGTATAAATATATTTTATATATATACACACCAGTTTTTTGTGTCCTAAGTTATGATATAAAAGAATGATTTCTTACAATGGTTGCAAGAGAGAGAGAGAGAGAGACACTGAACTAGCCACTTGGATTTGGTATTTTGATTCTAGAGAGAGAGAGAGAGAGAAAATATACTTAAATTATACAAATCACAGAAAACAAAAATGAAAACACACCTTTTTATTGATCCTGCTAACCAATCAAGGTAGCACTCTTTCTTAGAGAGAGAGAGAGAGAGATAAAGCTATAAACGGACATCCTTGTAACATAATGTCTAGAGAGAGAGAGAGAGAGAAAAACTCCTCCGTGACCCTCACAGGTCATGGCTCCCCAGAGAGAGAGAGAGAGAGAGGAAGCAGCTGCTTTTCTAGCTGGGGGTGTCCGTAGCCATGTGGTCTCCATTCCCTTGCCACCCTGACAGCTCCTGCCTTGGCTCATCTTTCTTTTCTGGTTTCTCTAGTGTAGGGAATTCTGTTTTTCCTTTTTTCCACACGCTCCCCAGAGAGAGAGAGAGAGAGAGAAATCTTATCCAATTTTAATTCATTTATTAACATATAGAGAGAGAGAGAGAGAGATCCAATTCTATTTCCATTTTCTGAAGCTATTTGCATAAGAGAGAGAGAGAGAGAGATTCATATCAATTTTAACCTATTTGGAACGTAGATTGTAGAGAGAGAGAGAGAGAGACTGGTTTCCCTATTTCGGTTAATTGCGCTACCATTTTTGAGGTCAACCTAGCGAACAACCTTGAGCTTCAACTCCTGCCTGGTCTGAACTGCTAGAGAGAGAGAGAGAGAGACTTCCGGAGAGCTGCATTCAACAAGGCTGTCACCACAAGAGAGAGAGAGAGAGAGATCCGGTTACTATGGCCTGCCTTCACGTTCTCATTACCAGAGAGAGAGAGAGAGAGAATAGCTTATATTAATCGTGCTCTTCACTTTCTCCTTTAGAGAGAGAGAGAGAGAGAACTTAGCTCTCCCATAACAGTCTTCCTAAAGTGTGGCAGAGAGAGAGAGAGAGAGAGTTTTTGTTTGTTTTAACTAAAAACTTGCAGTGTTTCAGAGAGAGAGAGAGAGAGAAAGAGCAATTTCTGAGATGGGTATTCAAGGATTTCTAAGAGAGAGAGAGAGAGAGACTGCTCAGTTTCATCTGCAATTATGAATTCTATTTGAACTCCCTGCTCCAAACTCTTACTTATTAGTTCTTAAACATGAAGAACTGTGTTTTCAGAGAGAGAGAGAGAGAGACATGTAATTTCTTGCTATCTCCACCAGTAAAAACATTAGAGAGAGAGAGAGAGAGACTATTATAATAGATGCTACTACTAGCATCTACTACTAAGAGAGAGAGAGAGAGAGACTTCTTTCAACGCTACTACTTCTTTCAACATGTTCTTGAGGCTTCCAAAATCAAGTGTGGTATTTTGTACCTTTGAATTCCCTTTATATTTAAAGAGAGAGAGAGAGAGAGACACATTTTATTGTGAGCCTTTTCAACAGATGTTATGCAGAGAGAGAGAGAGAGAGATTATCAGTTAATTACTGAATCTTTCTAATCCAATGGCAGAGAGAGAGAGAGAGAGACAATAAATAACATTCTCTTGTTTAAATCCAGTCATCAAGAGAGAGAGAGAGAGAGAAAAATAGAAATAACGTTATTTTTCATACACCTACCACAGAGAGAGAGAGAGAGAGAAACACATATTTTATCCTTGTCAATATCCCACTTACCTAGAGAGAGAGAGAGAGAGAAAGACCTGTGATTCTCTTAAGCAGAAAAAAAAAAAGAAGAGAGAGAGAGAGAGAGAATTTACATGACAATGTTTTCCAAATAAAGCCAAGGACAAGGAAAAAAACCAAACAAACAAACCCTGAGTCAGCAGGGGGGAAATAATCTTTTTAGAGAGAGAGAGAGAGAGATCTCATATACTCAAGAAAAGGAGCCCAGGATTCTAATAGAGAGAGAGAGAGAGAGAATTCTTTTCAAAAGCAAATTCTTAGAGAAAAAAACTGCCCTACCAGGTAGAGACTGAAGTCTATAAATCACTTATACTTTCAAGTATGGACATAGAGAGAGAGAGAGAGAGACATCAATATATAAACCAATGCAGAATGTGCAGACGGCAGAGAGAGAGAGAGAGAGAGCTTTTGTTTCCCCTTATGGCTGTGTTTCCATGGTACAGAGAGAGAGAGAGAGAGACAGAACAGGACTGTGATTCTGGGAAATATGGACTTATAGAGAGAGAGAGAGAGAGATCACCGTCCTTTAACTATTTTTTCAACTATTTTCTTAAGAGAGAGAGAGAGAGAGAGAATTAAATACACAAAGTGAGTGGAAGGAGTCACAAAAGAGAGAGAGAGAGAGAGAAAACAATCCTTCATAGATGAGTTTATGGCAGAACTATAGAGAGAGAGAGAGAGAGAATAAAAGTGTATCAAATTACACACGTGTGTACATATAAGAGAGAGAGAGAGAGAGAAAATTATGTTAATACTTGTCGTTACATTTTAATTAGTGCAAATTAGTAAGTATTATTTACTTGGGACAGGCTTTTAATGGAAAAACAAACCACAGAGAGAGAGAGAGAGAGATTTGTCATGTTTTTACATTGTTTAAAAAAAAAATGTCAGAGAGAGAGAGAGAGAGAGTCCACATGGAAAAAATAGTTAAATCATAGAAAGCCCAGAGAGAGAGAGAGAGAGACTACTGATTGGGAAACAAGGTAATATTTCTCAATCTTAGAGAGAGAGAGAGAGAGATAGAGGGCAAGCACACTGCTGACAGTCATTTGGCAATAGAGAGAGAGAGAGAGAGAATCCAGGAGCACATCGTTCACAGAAGTCACCAGCGGTAGAGAGAGAGAGAGAGAGAAAAGGAAAAGGGAGAAGTTTGTTTTTCATTTACTGAGAGAGAGAGAGAGAGAGAGAATACAGCTCCCCACCTGTGTGTGCACCTGTATACACAAGAGAGAGAGAGAGAGAGATTGAAAGAGTTCTTGAGAACTATATACTTTAGAGAGAAGAGAGAGAGAGAGAGAGAGGGGCGGGCTGGGGGAGGGGCAGAGGGAGAGGAAGAGAGAGAGAGAGAGAGAGAGACCACACCCAGCACAGGCCCTGACTCAGGGCTCGATCTAGAGAGAGAGAGAGAGAGACCCTGAGATCATTACCTGAGCTGACGATAGCCCCCTAAGAGAGAGAGAGAGAGAGAACTCATTTGAGTGTTCCCTCAGCTTCCTGTGAAAGACAGAGAGAGAGAGAGAGAGAACTTTCCATCCCTTTAACATTTATTCCTGTCCATAGGAGAGAGAGAGAGAGAGAGACCTAAAGCTACTCTCTTCCTAAACTGGATTCCTTGCCTTTCTGCCTCCCCCTTTTGACCAGCATCTGCATCTTTCCCTCCTTTCCTCATTTGTAGAGAGAGAGAGAGAGAGAGGTCCAGACTTCCCTAGCTCAAAAATATCTCTGGGGCCTCAAGTGTCTGGAAATTTCCATCCTATCTTTGATAAGCATTTTAAAAGCATTGTTAGAGAGAGAGAGAGAGAGATCCTTATCTCCCTTCAGCTCTCCCCACTTTAAAAAAGAGAGAGAGAGAGAGAGAGATCCAGGCTCACTGATAAGATCTTTGTTGATAAATAAAAATTCCCTGACAATAAGTCTTCATGATATATGAATTTTCTGCAGCAGCTAATATTTAGAGAGAGAGAGAGAGAGATCTCTTCCTATGGTTTCTTTAATGGTATGGTCTGCTGAGAGAGAGAGAGAGAGAGAGGCTACTCTTCCTTATGCTCATTCATGGACTGTCTCTAGAGAGAGAGAGAGAGAGAATTGGTGTCCTTGATTCTAACTTTGGCTCTCACCTCTAGAGAGAGAGAGAGAGAGACTTTTTCTTTTTCTTACACACTCTACCTTGGTGATTTAGAGAGAGAGAGAGAGAGAAGTTAGCACCTAATTGCCAAAAACTCTAAATTTTACAAGAGAGAGAGAGAGAGAGATAATGAGTTCTAGACCTACATTTCCAAATGCTTCCCGAGAGAGAGAGAGAGAGAGAAAGTACCTTGAATTTGAACTATCAAAAATTAAGCTCATCTCTCTTTAAACCTGCTAATATTTCTGTATTGTTCATTTCATCTGGGGTCGCTATAGAGAGAGAGAGAGAGAGAGCCAACAATCTAGAGGCCTCTCTCATGCCAGAGAACCAGAGAGAGAGAGAGAGAGAATGATTCTATTACTCTCTGTTTCTTTACTTCCTTGTCAGAGAGAGAGAGAGAGAGACACTCTCATTTTTTACCTGGTTTATTGAAACAGAATTAGAGAGAGAGAGAGAGAGATAAATTTTTTTTTTTTAAAGAAGGATGTATTTATTTAAGAGAGAGAGAGAGAGAGATTTATTTGACAGAGAGAGAGACAGTGAGAAAGGGAACAGAGAGAGAGAGAGAGAGAGAGGGAGAAGCAGGCTTCCCACGGAGCAGGGAGCCTGATGCGGGGCTCGATCCCAGGACCCCGGGATCACGACCTGAGCCGAAGGCAGACACTAGAGAGAGAGAGAGAGAGAGTGCCCCCTGCTTCTAAATTTTTTTATGCAGTGATTTAGAGAGAGAGAGAGAGAGATGATCATCTTATAGAACATATCAAACCATGCCATTCTAGAGAGAGAGAGAGAGAGATAGTTCTCCATTGTCCTTAGGATGAATTATAAACTTTAGAGAGAGAGAGAGAGAGAATTTTTCATCTGCTCGCTTACCCCTCCAGCCTTACCTCTAGCCACCGCTACCTTTGTATGCTATGTGAAAGCCATATAGGACCATCTGAAATTCTCATATTATGCCATGCTCTCTCTTTCCTCCGGGACTTCTTATATGCAAATCCCTTGTTTTGGAATGTTTTCCCTTCCTCTTACCTGATTAGCACCTATTCATTTCAGCTCTAGAGAGAGAGAGAGAGAGATCTGATAAACATTCCCTGATGTCCTAAGTCTGGGCTAAATGCTCATTCTAGCTCAACACAGTGACTGAAACATGGTAGTCATTTGATGACCATAGAGAGAGAGAGAGAGAGAAATATAGGAAGTATAGATGAAACTGGTCAGTCTTCTTAAGATGAAAAAGGCCAAGTTTCAAGTCTAATGACTTTATAGAAATGTGGTTAACAGAGAGAGAGAGAGAGAGAGATTCTGAGTTAGGATTTGTTGTATAAGTACCATGATCTAGAGAGAGAGAGAGAGAGAAAGGAACCAGTATTTTAGCAATAAAATAACCATTCCAAGAGAGAGAGAGAGAGAGAAAGAGATGGCTCCAGGATAAATTCCAGGATAAATTACAGAGAGAGAGAGAGAGAGATCATTCAGCAAGGTGTCAAATGGTAAGTTAACTGGGGAGAGAGAGAGAGAGAGAGATTACAGCTATGTGAATAAACACGTGCCAAAAAAATACATAGGCTCTTGAACAATTATCAGCATTTTGCTTTTGTAAAAATAAACCCACTGCATAGAGAGAGAGAGAGAGAGACCTAATATAGCATTAATAATTGACTCAAAATACTTAGAGAGAGAGAGAGAGAGAGAGAAATACAGAGATTCAAAAATACGGTTTGCTGCTCTTAGAGAGAGAGAGAGAGAGACTTTCTTCACAGATCAAGCAAATATTTTAACCTTCTCTGGACAGTCAATCTTTCACAGGTTACTGACATACTAAACTTGGTTAACGAAATCAAATGTTCTGGTTAGGTCCACAAACACAACACATAAATCATGATGCTATTTTTGAAACTTTTTGACACAGACCTTTCCTATGACTTTCCTGTCTACATTGAGACACAATATTCATCTTGTACAGAAATTAATCTCGGGGTGCCTGGATGGCTCAGTCGTTGAGCGACTGCAGAGAGAGAGAGAGAGAGACCCAGGGTCCTGGGATCGAGCCCCGCATCGGGCTCCCAGAGAGAGAGAGAGAGAGATTCTCCCTCTCGCACTCCCCCTGCTTGTGTTCCCTCTAGAGAGAGAGAGAGAGAGAAAATAAAAATCTTTAAAAAAATTTAAAAAAAAAGAAAAGAGAGAGAGAGAGAGAGAATATTTTAGAAGTCTAACGAGAAGTTTAATTATATTCTCAAGAGTGATATTATATGTTCTAGTACCTTTTCAATAACAGATTAGGATATATGATATTTATATTTTTTTGCACATGGAAAAACTGGTGGTATATATTCCTTCTGCTAAATAGAGAGAGAGAGAGAGAGATATTATATAGTACCTTAGATCTGGGGTGAGAAGTTGCAGAGAGAGAGAGAGAGAGATTAAAGGGATGCCTCCCCACTTCTCACTTTTTTTTTTAGAGAGAGAGAGAGAGAGAGATCCTTATAAGGCAGCCTTTTTCATCTTGTACAATTAGAGAGAGAGAGAGAGAGACTTATGTTGAATGAAAACATATCTCATTTTAGTTTTCAGTTAATGATCCAAGTTCTGCCTTCTGAAGCTACGAAGATTAAGTCTAATTCCCATAGAGAGAGAGAGAGAGAGAAATGTCTACAAAATACTATTACTTCCTAAATCTCTTCAGAGAGAGAGAGAGAGAGACTTGATCACTCAGAATTTCTCTTAAAATAGATATTAAAGAGAGAGAGAGAGAGAGACAAATATAGTGACTATATTCCCTTCCCCCATCTGGATAGAGAGAGAGAGAGAGAGAAGTCAAGTAAAAACTCCTATTTCACAGGAATTGCTACAGAGAGAGAGAGAGAGAGATCTTTCCTTAAGCACTAGAATATAAGCTCCTAGAGGGAGAGAGAGAGAGAGAGAGAATCTTGGTATCTTTTCATCACCTACTGCAATACCTGCAGAGAGAGAGAGAGAGAGAAGTGCCACAAGAATGAATGAACAAGTGAGCCTCCCTAAGTTCAGAAACTCTTATATTAATTTCATCTTGTTAATTGTGGCTCATACTTCCACCAGAGAGAGAGAGAGAGAGATGACCACCATCTAATACATTAGATTACACTTCCAGCTAGAGAGAGAGAGAGAGAGACAGATCACTGATCAGATCACGATTTTGAACAGGATGGGGTGAAACACAAAGCCTATGTCTCATCATTGGAGATAGGAACCTAGAACCCAGTACACATTCTTCAGGGGTAGAGAAACTTCTACAGTCACTAAACTTGTTAACTGATTACTATCTGGCCCAGATATCTCTTCAAACTTGTTTGTGAAAATATCATTAAACATTCTCTAGAGAGAGAGAGAGAGAGAACCAGAGTTTTGATCATAGATCTGATCTTTAGTGGCTTATGATGTAAGCAAATTATTTAATTTCTGTCAACATCAGTTTATCAACTGTAAAAGAGAGAGAGAGAGAGAGAGACACATAAGTTTACTGTAAGAATAAATAAGAAAAAACAAGAGAGAGAGAGAGAGAGACTTGGTCCTGGCACATATGCAGATAGGGTTGAACATTAGAGAGAGAGAGAGAGAGATGCTGAATTTGAGATATGATCTATCACACTTTCTGATGATTTTGATATCATAATGAGATTCAGGAAGGATCTCAAATTTATACATACAGTAATAGAGAGAGAGAGAGAGAGAGTTTTAAGTGAACCTAATGAGCACTATTTTTTCTACAAGAGAGAGAGAGAGAGAGAGTAAGCAATCCTTAAGTTTTACTAGAGATCAAAAATCAGAGAGAGAGAGAGAGAGATTTCCTTTTTAAACCTGGAGTGGCATTTCACAGCTTTAGAGAGAGAGAGAGAGAGAATATTTCCATGATTTTTGCAAATATTTTTCATACATGAGAGAGAGAGAGAGAGAGAGATTCTATCAGTACTCTAAGATGGAATTCTAGGCCTTCAAAATCAAATCATTTAATC